GGAAGCACGAGCTCCTGGCCAAGGCCCTGCACCTCCTCAAGTCCAGCTGTGCCCCCAGTGTCCAGATGAAGATCAAAGAGCTTTACCGCCGACGCTTTCCCCGGAAGACTCTGGGGCCCTCTGATCTCTCCCTTCTCTCTCTGCCCCCTGGAACCCCTCCAGTTGGCTCCCCAGGTCCTCTAGCTCCTATTCCCCCGGCCCTCTTGGCCCCTGGCACCCTGCTGGGCCCCAAGCGTGAAGTGGACATGCACCCCCCTCTGCCCCAGCCTGTGCACCCTGATGTCACCATGAAACCGTTGCCCTTCTATGAAGTCTATGCGGAGCTCATCCGGCCCACCACCCTCGGTATGGCTCTGTCTTTCTCAGGTTTCCTGCATCCATACCGCTCGCCCAAGCCTTTCTTAGACTTTAGTCCTGTGGGATCAGCGGCCTGGGTTGGGGGCAGCATCTGTGGCTGCCTGTCACAGATTCAGGAATAACTGCCCCTTTGTGTTCTCAGCGTCCACTTCTAGCCAGCGGTTCGAAGAGGCACACTTTACCTTTGCCCTCACGCCCCAGCAGGTGCAGCAGATTCTCACGTCCAGGTACCTATCTCCCAACCCTTCTACCTCATCCCAGGGTGGTGAACCCTGGACTCTGTTCTCCGACACTCTTCTCTTCTGTCTTGCTCTCCTGCCTGTCCCCATCTTCCTGCACCTGCTTTGTCTCATTCTCTTGTGCGTCTCTTCTCAGCCCTGCCCTCTGGGGGCCATATCCTGACATGTCTCCCTCTCCTTCCCTGTCACAGAGAGGTTCTCCCAGGAGCCAAATGTGACTATACTATACAAGTGCAGCTAAGGTGAGTTGATCCTCCTCCCTTCCCTGCTGGGCTCTGTGGGGTGGGGCGTGGGGGCTGGTGGAGGGAATGCCATCAGGGTGTGCTGGACACGGCTAGGAGACAGCACTGCTCTGCCACGTCCACCCCAACCCTGGGACTCATTGGGTGCTAAGGGCTGCAGGTGCAGACATTCCCTGCCTTTCTGCCAGAAAGAAGAAACCATCTCTCCCACCCTCTCATCCTTTCTCCTCTCTTACCAGGTTCTGTCTCTGTGAGACCAGCTGTCCCCAGGAGGATTATTTTCCCCCCAACCTCTTTGTCAAGGTCAATGGGAAACTGTGCCCCCTGCCGGTAAATGCTCTTCCCTTCTTCTGGCCACGACCCCTTCCCTCTTTCAGTTCTTAAATGTTCAGTGCAAACCTATTACGAAGGAGCCATGCCTAGCACGGTGCCTGGGTATGTCATAGGCTGTCCATTCACTAAGGGATTAACATAATCTAAAGAATACTGAGATAGGGCTGATGCACAAAGGGTTCTGTCAGAATCCAAAGAGGCACATTGGTTCAACCCAGAGGTTGAGGGAAGACTTCTGTGAAGTGATGACTTCAGAGCTAAGAGTTGGAAGAAGTGGGGCATCCCTATTCTTCCTCCTCAGGAACTCAGGAAGTAGGTTTCTGTTTCCCTGGTCAATGAATAAGCACTCCTTTGTCCCCAGGAACGAACCCCCCACACAACCCTCGATAGTGCTGTAGTTTTGCGAGTCACTGAATGGGCCCCCATGTCCTTGGTCACTGAGCGAGCTGGTCTTCCCTCTAGGAAGTGAGTAACTTGAGATAAAAATGTCTTGACCTATGTCTGCCTTCCCCAGGGTTACCTTCCCCCTACCAAGAATGGGGCTGAGCCCAAGAGGCCTAGCCGCCCCATCAACATCACACCTCTGGCTCGTCTCTCGGCCACTGTTCCCAACACCATTGTGGTCAACTGGTCATCTGAGTTTGGACGGGTGAGCAGGGCTGGGGCAGGGAACCTAGAGAAGCCTGCAGGGTGTGAGGGCGACAGCATCCAGTGTTGGAGTTGGGGAAAACATCATCTTCTTTGTGGGTCTTCCTGCCCTAACCCGCTGTCTGTGGTCCTCCTGGGACAGAGGGTCGGGAAGGCGGTGGTGATGTGCAGAGCAGAGGCTAATTGCCTCCCTCTCTCTCCATGTAGAACTACTCCTTGTCTGTGTACCTGGTGAGGCAGCTGACTGCAGGGACCCTTCTACAGAAACTCAGAGCAAAGGGTATCCGGAACCCAGACCACTCTCGGGCACTGAGTGAGTAACACCCTGCCCCTCTTTCCCCCCTGATCTGGATCCGAGTCTCCCTGGTCCTCCAGCCTTTATGGTCAGACCCATCCCCCTCTTGTGACAGTACACCTCACATCACACACGAACCCCAACCCTACTCCTAGCCCCTTACCAGTCTTTGTTGTTGAGAAGTCAGCCCAATCTCAGGCACTGAGGGACACCCTTGAGTTCTCAATTATACATCTGCTTTGCACCTCATAGACCCTGCTTCTAGCTTCTTTAGACTGGAGGCTTGTTTTAAAAAAGATTTTATTTATTTATTTGAGAATGAGAGAGCACGAGTGGGGTGAGGGGCAGAGAGAGAAGCAAACTCCCCGCTGAGCCACTGAGCCTCCCAGGTGCCCCTAGACTGGCAAGAGTCTTGGGGATCCTCTGATCTGGGTACCTGGGTGGCTCAGTCATTAAACATCTGCCTTTGACTGAGGTCATGATCCCAGTGTCCTGGGATAGAGCCCCACATCAGGCTCCCTGCTTCGTGGGAAGCCTGCTTCTCCCTCTCCCACTGACCCTGCTTCTGTTCCCTCTCTCGCTATGTCTCTCCCTGTCAAATAAACAAATAAAAATCTTTAAAAAAATAAAAAATAAAAAATGAAGAAAAAGGATCCTCTGATCTAACCCTCTTGTGATGCTTCAGTTCCCTTTAAGTCATATCTGTCCCAGTGTCCCACAGCTGTGTTTAAGCATCTTCAGGGACGGGGAACTCTCCCTCACAGCCAGTCTTCATGTGACATCCCTCCGGCCCCCAAAGGCACTCTGCGTGGCTGCCTCTCAGCCAGTTGTCTGCTTCTGGCCTCACCGCTTCCTGGGCTTCATCTCCAGCTTTGCTGACCCCGTGGCTCTGGCCTCATTCTTGTTTCAGTCAAGGAGAAATTGACCGCTGACCCGGACAGTGAGGTGGCCACTACGAGTCTCCGGGTGTCACTCATGTGCCCGGTGGGTACAAGGGAGATGAGAAGGGGGAGGGGTTGCTGGGTTAAACTCTGGACCCAGATGAGGGCTCCTAGGGCGACCAGAGTAAGGCTTCCTGGGATGTGGGGACTCTGACCAGAGAACTCCTCTCTTCTCAGCTAGGGAAGATGCGCCTGACAGTCCCTTGTCGGGCCCTCACCTGCGCCCACCTGCAGAGCTTCGATGCTGCCCTTTATCTACAGATGAATGAGAAGAAGCCAACATGGACATGTCCTGTTTGTGACAAGAAGGCTCCTTATGAATCTCTTATCATTGATGGGTAGGGCCACTCTGCTTTGTCTTACCTAGGACCTCCACTAGCAACCCCCGCCCATCTATATATCGTGAGACCTTCCTTCCCCTCCCATGAACCCCATTTCTTCACCTATCAATCCCTTTATATGTATAGGTATAATTTTTTACCTTTATAATATACAGTTGACCCTTGAACAGTGTAGGTCCACTTTACACATTTTTTTTCAATACAGCACAGTACATGTAAATGTATTTCCTCTTTATGATTTTCTTAATATTTTTATTTTGTCTAGCTTACTGTATTATAAGAATGCAGTATATGATACACATAACATACAAAATGTGTGTTAATTGATTGTTGATGATATTGGTAAGGCTTTTGGTCAACCGTAGGCTGTTGTTATTTAAGTTTTGGGGAGAGTCAAAAGTTATCCATGAATTTTTTTTTTTAAATAGTAAAGACTTAAAAAAAAAAAAAGATTTATTTATTTACTTGTGAGAGAGAGAGAGAGAGAGAGCGCATGTGCTTGTGGGGCAGGTGAGAGAGAATATTAAGCAGGCTGTATGCCCAAAGTGGAGCCTGACATGGGGCTCGATCTCATGACCCTGAGATCACAACCCGAGCAGAAACCAAGAGTAGGATGCTCAACTGCCTGCGCCCCCTAGGCACCCCATCCAAGGATTTTTGATTGTGTGGGTCAGCGCTCTTAATCCCCATGTTGTTCATGGTCAACTGTATATATTTCCAACATTGAGGATTTAAAGCATTAGGCATCATGCTGCGAACTTTGCATGCCTCATCGCATTGAATCCTCATAATTAACCTTGTGAGATGGGTATGGTCATTACAGGTGAGGAAGCTGAGGCCTAGAGAGATTATCTTGCTCAAAGTTCTCATTGTTACTAAGTGGCAGAGTCAGTGCATTGAACTGATACAATATATCTCCTAGAACAACTACCTGACCTCTCATTGACAATGGCAAAAAAGTTCTTCTGAGGGCCTGGATGTACTGATTTTGCTAATCCCAACCCCCGTCCAGAGCCTAAATGACGGTCCTTGTTCCCAGTGCCCTCTTTGAGACGGTTTATAGAGTTTGGTATCTTTGCTCCTTTTGTCTTGTTGCAAGTACTACATGAAAGGTGTGCTTAGAATGTTTGGAAAATTTAGCATTTAAAGTTGGCAAATCTCTTTTATATTACCTTACTTTATTTGATTCCGACAACTCAAGAGTTGGTAGAGTGAATAATGTCCCTGTTTTACAGACAAGGAAACCTCAGTTCCTGAGGTTCAGGAAGGTGAGTCCCAGAACTCCCCGGCTACTGTTCCCAGCCATCTCCCAGCCCCATGAATTCCCATCTCTCCCCTTCCCCCAGCTTATTCATGGAGATACTTAATTCCTGTTCGGATTGTGATGAGATCCAGTTCATGGAAGATGGATCCTGGTGCCCAATGAAACCCAAGAAGGAGGCATCTGAGGTTTGCCCCCCGCCAGGGTATGGGCTGGATGGTGAGTGACCCCCTGTCCCCCAGCTGAACTATATCTTGGATGGCTTCGTCTCTGAGACACAGTCCTCTTACCACCTGCAGGCCTCCAGTACAGCCCAGTCCAAGAGGGCAATCCATCAGAGAATAAGAAGAAGGTTGAAGTTATTGACTTGACAATAGAGAGTTCGTCAGATGAGGAGGACCTGCCCCCGACCAAAAAGCACTGTCCTGTCACCTCAACTGCCATCCCAGCGCTACCTGGAAGCAAAGGGTATGAGGAAATAGGCTGAGTCCACGGCAGAGGGGCAGAGAAAGAAGTCAGGAATGCCTTCTGATCACTGGACAAACCCTGGGGCAGAGAGGGGACTCAGGAGGCTGAGCTGGGTAAGGGCATCTGTCGTTCGCTGCTGCCCCAGCTCTTCCTCTCTCCTCACAGAGTCCTGACATCTGGTCACCAGCCATCTTCGGTGCTACGGAGCCCTGCTATGGGCACACTGGGCGGGGATTTCCTATCCAGTCTCCCACTACATGAGTACCCACCTGCTTTCCCACTGGGGGCTGATATCCAAGGTAGGACACTGATCACAAGGTGGGCTGTTCCTTGCCACAGCTGCCCCCAAACGAGATCAGAACCCCTGTTCCTTTTCAAAGACTTCTGGCTCTCTTGCAAAGGCTATAATCCAAGGGACTTCTTTGCAGGTTTTTTTGGCCATGAGGGGTCAGACAGGAGATTGATTCTGATTTTTCTTTTCTTACCAGGTTTAGATTTGTTTTCTTTCCTCCAGACTGAAAGTCAGGTAAGTGGTCTCTTCTCCCATGAAGCTATCAGATCTCAGAAGATTCCTTTCTAGGCACTGATACCCTGCCCTCCCCCGCCCATTTTCCCTTGAGACCTAAATCTGCTTCTTTGTGAGGAAAGGCAGGGGCTGGGGGACAGGGGGTGGGCAGTTTATTTCCCTACTGGACCCTACCTGTGCTTCTTCGGATTCTCACCCATGTCTTCTTTGATCTCCTGTTACTGTTCTGTCTTGAGTTTTTAAAATTCTGCCTCCGACTGCTCTCCCTCCAACCACCCTCTCACCGCCCCCACCCCCCCCCCCCCCCCCCCCCCCCCCCACACACACAGAGTCATGTGCACTTGAGCGCTGTGCCTGCCCCAGAGGGACATTCCATGCATTTCAGATGCCCACAAGGCCAAAAACCTAGCAAGCTGGAGGGGCTGTCTCAAGGCAGGGAGTAGGGGCAGGGCATGGGTGGGGTGGGGAAGTGGGGGACAGAGAGTCTCCCCTGCTTCTCAGAGGCTATTTGGGGATCCAAGGGGTTTGATTTATCCCAGGATATTTCTGAGATGACTGGGAGGTGGGTGAAGTCAGGAGAAAATCTTAAACTGTGCCCTTGATTCCTCCCAGCACTATGGTCCCTCCGTCATCACCTCGCTAGATGAACAGGATGCCCTTGGCCACTTCTTCCAGTACCGAGGGACCCCTTCCCACTTCCTGGGCCCACTGGCCCCCACATTGGGGAGCTCTCACCGCAGCACCACTCCAGCACCCCCTCCTGGCCGTGTCAGTAGCATTGTGGCCCCTGGGGGGGCCTTGAGGGAGGGGCCTGGAGGACCCCTATCCTCAGGTCCCTCTTTGACTGGCTGCCGGTCAGACATCATTTCCCTGGACTGAGTCCCCTGGACGATGGAAACTTCATTGCCTCCCAACACTGAGCAAGTACTTTGTGGAGTCCAGATTCCTGGCTACTCTGACCCCTCAGGGGCCTTTGGCCCGAGGTCAGAAAGACCTTCATGGATACCTGATTTTGGCCTTCTCTCTGCCTAACAAGGCCAGCACCCAAAGGGTTAATATTTAACCTCTTTTTAAGGACATTTGGGTTCTATTTTTGGAAATGTTCTTTAGATGGCTGGCACATTCCTTTGGGTATGTTAACCTGGGCAGTGGGAGGCACATGGGTTGGGGTGTGAGGTGGGGGAGGGGCCGAATTGGCTGGAGCCTCATGGGGAAAGGGTCTTTCTCTTGTCCCCTAGATGCCCTCTCTTCCCCAAACCTATGGTTCTGTTCCTTCCCCACATCCATTGTCTCTTCATGTCCATTCCGTTCTCTTTGGTCAGACAGACAGGTAGAGAAGCTGAGACAGGCAGAAATAGGGACAGAGAACTCTATTTTGGGTTGTAGATTTTTTTGTACATAAACAAGAAAAACCAAAATACTCCAAAGATGATTTCCCCTGCTTCCTACTTCCCAGTATGACTGAGGAGGACATAAGGCCTTAGCTCTGATCCCCATTGATTTGGGAGCAGGGCCTGGCCTGTTGCCTGGGTCTCTCTCTATTTATATATTTAAGTTCACAATGTTTCATATGCTGACCAGCTTGGGCCATGAGCTTCAAAAGGCCCATGGCCCCATGGTTAGGTCTGGCTCATTCTGCACCTTTTCTGGGAGGGGGGAAGACCTCATGCTCTCCCCATTCTCCTTTTTCAGGCTCCTCCAGGGCCTAGGGCCTATGTTGTAATTTTACTTTTTATTCTCAAAGTTGTAGCAAAGTTCTTACCCATAATAAAGGTTGTAAATGTCTGTGAGTGTCTTGGAGGTGGGCTGGGGCCAGGGGGATTATGCACTTTCATTTCCAGAGCCCTGGTTTGCGGGGAGGGGGCCCATGTTCTATTCTTCCTTGCAGACCCTGGGCCTACTTTCACATGGGAGGGGTGTCCCACTGAGGAGTTCCGGGAGCATTTGTTCTTTCTTCCTCTCCCTCATAGAGCATTCAGCCCAATGTCACAGAGCCCTCAAGTCCTTTACCCTTACCTGCCCAGATGTTGCAGCCAGAGCCTGAGGGCAAACTTCGTCCCAGAGCTGACCCTCTCTTTTCCTTCAGCTGTGGTTGGGGTTGTCCGCAGCAGCGTGGACACCGGCAAGGCCAGGGGTCGAGCTCCTCCATCCTCCTTTAGTTCTACTATACTGCATAATGACGGCTCCTGTCTGGGCTGTGCTCCTGTCAGTGGCTTAGCCCTCTTCCATGGAACCCTCCCAGCCACAGGAGTAGAGGGGTGGGTGGGAGTTCCCCTCATTTACCGAAAGGAACAGGTTCAAGGAGGGTTAAATGACTTGCCCCTTTGGGGGAGTGGGACTCAAACCCAGGTGGTCAGTGCTAGCCAGCTGAAGCAGGAACCCTTGGAGTTGGATGGACAGTGTCTTTGGTATCATGTGCCCCCTTCATCATCAGCTGACCAGCCCACTCCCTAAATCTCCCCCAGGACACAAAACTCCCCCGCTGAGGAGGGGAAAGAGGTGGGACTATTCAATGAGTATGTGTTGGTGTGCTGGAGGGTCAGACCAAAGCTCTTACAGGATGGAAGGTGGTAGCTCCTGGGGGAGATGCCTGGATGTCTCTGTACCATCCTCCATGGTGGCCACTGCAGCTGCTACATCTGGTCCCAGCCACATAAAGGCGCTCACCTCATTTGGGTTTGGTTGGATCCGGGCCTGGGCCAGATAGTTAGATCCCTTAGCTGTGGCCTCTCTTAGGAGGCCTGTTTTTGATTGTGGCCTACCCACAAGTGGAATGGGGAGAGACTTGGGACAGGGGTAAGGGCGGGGGGGAGGCTATTGGATTTCTTGGTTATCTCTGACTGACCCCCCCCCTGCCGTCACAGAATTAGTCTGCTTGGGTCTCAAGCCCCCATTTCCTTCCTGCACTGTCAGCCCTACCTGCAGCTGCTGCTGTGACTCCTGGGAGACCACGAGAAGATAGAGAATGATGTGATGGTATTTGGGGAGACCCCAGCTCAGCCTCGGAGGGTAGGCAGACTAGGAGAGAATACAGCAAAAATGAGAACTTCCTAATTCTTTTTGAGACTTTGTAAATATAGCTGAAGAAGTAGAGGGTAGAGATGGTGCAGAAGGGACATAGGTGGGGATTGTGGGATTGGGGACTCCAAACCATCCACCCACAGTTAATCGTTTCTCCTCTGGCCCAGGCAGGTGTAGGGCTGTTCTTTGGCTTTGGTGGGTTCAAAGTTGTTGAGGGCTCGGTTAAATAAGGAAGGGACCTTTTCCAGGTTCCTGTCTCACCTCCCATAACCCCAGAGGAACCCAAGAGAACTGGTCCTGGGGCAGCTGCAATCCACTCTCCTCCCAAAGCTCTCGGAGCCCTCCGTCCAACAGCTGGGAATGAGAGCACAGGTCTCCTTCAAGTCCTTTGTTTGCCCCTTCCTCAGCCCACACCCAAGGCAGGCCGAGGCGGAGGTCTCTGGTTTCCGGGCCTCCAGTGAAGGTCGGGTTAGCTGATTGGTTACCTCTTCATCAAGTTCCACGTGCCCACCTGCAACAACAGTGGGACCAATAGGTAAGTGGTGATGGTCTTGGTCAGGAACCACCCCCCCCCCCATCACCACCCACCCCCACACTATACTACCCCTCTCCTCCAGTTGGTGTAGATGCCATTGCAACTCTTGTGAAAAGGGGACTCACCGTATTTGTAGGCCGGCCTCTCTGTCTTCCTGAGACTGGGACTAGCACTATTGGTGAAGGGCCACTTTCTTCCCTGAACTTGGAATTCTGTTCTCAGGGCACTCACCTGGGGGTACCCAGAGGTTGGGAGAAAGGCTGAGGGTGCTTGTCCTTCGGGTTAACAAGATAGTCTGGTCGCTGGACTGCAGAATGACGGCCACACCCAGATCCACACCTCGATTCGTGGGCAGCTCAGTCCCCCGAGCCCTGAGCTGCTGCTGGTCCAGTGCCACAAAAGGGCAGAAAGGGGGTCGCTGGCGGGGGTGCAGGAGGTCGGTAGCCGTTTGGTTTAAGGCTTCAGAAGCCGGGCAAAAATCGGGCAACGCCGCGCGATGGGGGAGGAGATCGAGTCTGACCGAGCCTGGCCTCTGGCGCCAGCTCCACACCCCACCCCCGACCCCACTCCTGCCCCCCCCCCCCCCTCCCCTTTCTCCTGACCTGGAGCGGAAGTGTGGTCGAAGCGCCTGGGAATGGCCGGTCCGAGAGGACGAGTCGTCCTCGCTTAAAGCCGCAGTGCGTGGGCCACGGCCCGAGCCCCGGCCCGGCGCCCAGGAGGCGACACACACTCTGCGCGAAGCTCGGCGACACGGGGCGCCCGGACAGGAGCAGCAGCACCCGCGAGGCGGCCATAACGCGGCTCCTGGGCCGCAGTCCTCCTGGCGCCCTCTGCTGGCCCAGCGGTGCCGCCCCGAGTGTTGGGCCCGGTCGGAGAGGCCGCGGAAATGTAGGCAGAAGCCTTGGGGATGAGCCAAGGGCGCAATGCTAGTAAATGACAAAGAAGAAAGCCTCTAATCCCTCGGCTCCTCTTCTCCCCCCCTCTTCTCTTTAGGAGAGTGATTCAGACTGGATAATTTCTCAACTCACATGTTCCCTCCCACCAGCCACGGGCCGTGTATACTTAAGCACCCCTTGGTAGCTCTATACACCTATCTGCTGTAGTAGGTGTCACCTCAAATTAGTGTCTTGACCAGACACCCAGGAGACATTCTTTTCCCCTCCCCTCTCTTTCTTCTCACTAAAATGGCAACCCAGTGCAACAGATTCTATCTCCTTAAAATTTCTCGGATGTCTTGCTCTCTACTCATATTCTGCCAGATACTATTGCACATCTCCAAATAGTCCTTCCTCTACCAGTTCATTCTCTAGGGTGCTTCCAGAGTGATCTTTCTCAAACACAGATCTCATCATCTTGCTTCCCACTGCTTAGAAGATAAACTACTAAGCACAGTATATTGAGGACCCCCTCACCCCCAACCCCAGCCCTTGCTCCTGCGGGCTGTCCAGCCTCAATGCTGGCAGGACTTAGGCCCTGTTTTCTGGTTATATTCTATTTGCACTTCTTCCTGGAGCAAGGCTCTGCTTCCTTCTGGGACCCTTTCCCCCTCCTACCTGGCAAATCCTCTTCTTTGACAAGACAGATTAGCACTTTTTCTGCAATCCCTTTCGTTCTTGACCCTTCTCCCTCTTGCCTCTCTGTATACAGTACTTTTCTGCTAGAGCCCCCACCCAGTATTTCCTTGTATTTGTCTCCTCCCACTAGGCTGTGTGTATAAGGCTTATTCAACTTTGTATCCCTAAAGCCTGGCCCACTCTGGGCACATAACAGTTGCTCAGTAAAGAATGGTGAGTGGTTTGAAGGCAGAGACAGCAACTTACTGATCCTGGTATATTATATCCAGTATAATGGCTAGCAGTTAACTGGTACTTGATCGAACAATTAAATTCATTAATCTTAATGAATTAGAGAGAATGGACATTGAAGAGAGAACTGAAGAGATTGTAATAGCACCTACCTGCTTTCAATGAACTGAAGCTGCTGGGACAAATTACATCAGGTAGGTTAATTATCTATCCATGTCACTGAGAGAGAAAACTTAGAATTGCTGCTTTTAAGAAACCATGGAGTAGGGGTGCCTGGGTGGCTCAGCGGGTTAAAGCCGCTGCCTTCAGCTCAGGTCATGATCTCAGTGTCCTGGGATGGAACCCCACATCCAGCTCTCTGCTCAGCAGGGAGCCTGCTTCCCCCTCTCTCTCTGCCTATTTGTGATCTCTCTCTCTCTCTCTGTGTGTTAGATAGATAATAATAAAATAAATAAAATCTTAAAAAAAAAACAAAAAAGAAACCATGGAGAAGAGGAAGCCAATGACTTCTTGAGTCCTTACCGTATGCCAGGCATTGTGCTAAGTGTCTTACATACACGGTTTCAGATGTGTTAGAAGCCTGGAGCTGGCAAGTGTAGATTCCAGTGTGAATGCTGGGGCCAATCCACCTGCTAGTTCTGAAAATAGCTTTTACTTCCCTCTGTGTGGGTATCTTTCATATTCTCTACACTGTGTGTGTGTGTGTGTGTGTGTGTGTGTGTGTGTGTGTGTGTGTTGTGTGTGTGTGTGTTATTACAACTTAACAAAATAAAGAATAGGGGTAGCCTTTTGAGAATGGAATGAACTGCTTAGGAAGAAGTTTCTTCCACTGTCACGGATATTCAAACACAGGCTTGGCTTAACTTCTTAGTGGGAAATAATGCATCTGATAGATGATTAATCTAGTTGATTTGAGGTCTTTTCCCCCACTGAGATCTGATGAGTGGAGAATACAATGATGAGGATAATACAGGATCAGCAAACTTCAAAAAACATGTCAAACTCTTTCTGATGTTTTCTGGGCAGTAGAGATAGAGAGGGCATTTCAATATAAGAATCAGCAATGGGGGCACCTGGGTGGCTTGGTCGGTTGGGCAACTGCTTTCCGCTCAGGTCATGATCCCAGGATCAAACCCCATGTTGGGCTCCCTGCTCAGTAGAGAGTATGCTTCTCCCTCTTCCCCTGCTCGTTCCTGCTCTCTCTCAAGTGCACACACTTGCTCACTTTCCCTCTCAAATAAATTAAAAAAAAAAAAAAAAAGGAATTTGCATGTATCTCACTGCAGAGAATGCATCAGGCATCTCCTTTATTTTTCCTTCCAACCTCCCCAGATTTTTTGAGAAAGACTCTTCTTCTGGGTCATTGCCTCTTCATGGTGCTCTCAATATATGACTCCAGTAGGAAGATGGTTTCGTCCACTTGGATCTCACTGGCATCCAACCTGAGTGAAAAAGTGAAAGCATTTAGACAGACTGAACATTCATTATTTAAGATCAGAGGCCATGGAGAATGGCACTGAGGGCATTTTAAGAGATGGTTTGAAGGGGGAGGTGACTGCAAAGGTCCAGGAAAGAAGTGATGAAGGCCTGCATGACGACCAAGACGAAAGGCCAGATTTGAGACACATTACTGAAGTTAAATCAACAGACTTGGTGAACAAGAGTGTGCGATAAAGCAGTAGAAGCTGAAATGCTTTCAGAGTTTTTAAGCCTGGGAAAACAGGTGGATGAAATTCTGCCAACTGAGCTGGGGAAGAAGAGGGTGCGTTTAGGTTTGCTTGGGTGAGGTTGGAAGGGTAACAGGGTGTTGGGGTGGACTTGTCTGGAAGGTATTTTGAAACATAGGTTGGAGATTTATGATGCTTACTTGTTGACATTACGCTTCAGGGTTTCTAGCTGCTGGCGTTCAGGAGCTGTGATCATCTCCTCTATTTCTTGGAGCTGTGCCTCCTCTGCGCCTGTAGCCTGCATAGATGCAATAATGGCTTCCACCCTCTGAGACTTTTCTAGTAGACGCCTGTCAGACAAACACAGCTCTGAGGCATGTCCCTCTTGGTGATTCTTTTACCCATTACCCCTATGGCATAACTCCTTCTTCTCCCATGTTCCTGGTCAAAGTGGATATTGCCACCTTCCAAAGATAGTTTTTACAAGTTTAACTAGAAATAGGACTTCGCTCCTGAAACTCTTACTGCCTCTCATCTGCACTTAAAGTTTAATGCCAATTTGTACATTTCCTATAAACTGCAAAATTATTTCACTGGGGGTATATCATAACAGTTTAGAATAATGTACAATTTATGTCAACCTACGCCAATAATTCAATGCAACTAGATTTGTTATTGTCTCTCTTGGTTCTTATTTCTACAGGATATTCCCCTTCAAGACTTTGACCTTGAGAAATATAATTACTCAACTGAAAATGCTACTCACTTGTTCTCTTTGGTTTCAAATTGTCTCCTTTCTATCAAGTTGGCTATGCTCTGAGGGGAGAGAAGAAATGCACATGGTTCTATTTAGTAGCTCAAGTAAAATGGCTAAAGGGGGCATGAGGGTGAGACTTATCTGTGTGGAGGGAATGGGGAGAGGGTCCAGAAGAAATCACCTTGTAGCATCTGTGCAGCAACATTCGGGCAGCTGACAGGATGTTCACGGTATATAAATAGAAGGTCCTGGATGGGGCATGGTCTGGCGTTTTGGGAATTTCCTATTTGTCCATAGAAAGAAAGAGAAGAGAAATCATACTGTTCTTCAGAAATGGCAAAGTAAACACCTGTCCCATTCAGAGCAACTCCGCTCTCTCTTTCACTTATACTTTCCTCTTCCCCAGTCATTCAGCATCTGTGGCAAAATCAGCCACATGGAGAGCTTTTTCTATTTAACTGTAGGCATCCTCAGTGGGGAAGAAGGAGAAGGCAATTAACATTTTCTGAGCAATGCTTATGTGCCATGTTGATCGTATTTGATCTTTAGGACAAATCATATTATTCTTTATATCATATTATCCTTTTTATCATTGTTATTATCATATCATATCAAATCATATTATTCTTTATATCATTTTACTGATGAGAAAATGATGGTAGGCAGCGTTAACTGGATCAGAAGCAGAACTGTGATTCTGACTCCCAGATCCATTGTCTGTTCCCTCATAGGGCATACTACATGGCTGTGCACATAGTGAGGACCCAATAGAAACCATTGGCAGATTTCATCTATAATAGACTTAAGGGCTGAGGAAAGGACAAAGTTCTTAGTCACAAGGACTAAGAACTAAGGAAAAAGGGCAATTCTGGGGTGATTTCATGGCTGTGCCTCTTTTTAACCAGGCTACTTAAAGTTTCCCAATTCTCTTTCAAGTGCTTGCTATGTCTCTATAATTCTTTTTTTTTCTTTTTCTTTTCCTTTTCCTATCTCAGAGTTGGAAAGAGAGTTTGCTTGGGGTTCAGGATGTTTGCCTCAGAAGTTTCTTTCACCCTCGGCTAGTTCCATTGGTTGGGGACTGTTATGCCACTGGTTACCTGGAGTGATATGAAATTTCCCGAGAGCATCTTGTAAAGCATATCCTTTGCCTCCTTTGCTGGAATCATTGCAAAGTCTTCTACCTGCTTCTGTTCCAGGTGTTTCTTTTGTAAAACTAGACGGAATATTCTGGCACAGCGAGACCCAAACCTGGAAAGGAATAAAGACTAAAGAAGGCAAATGGCATGACACAGATTAGTTTTAGCTCCTAGTCACAAATGGCGGTTGCTCTGTTTCCATGTATGGAGCCAGGACCAGAGAGAGGAACAGTGGTCAGGGATTTCTTTTAGAACGCCACATATAGTTAATGGTACTGCTAATCATGAAGGAGTTACCAACTGCTGACTCACCTGAGTACCTGAGTTCCTGCATTTTAAGTAAAGGCTTTCAGAGGCCTGGTTAAATGGCATCATTAGGAATTGGGCAGTAGGGTATTTAGAGTGAAGAGCAGTAGTGGACGGGATCTGTAG